ACTCGACGAATCCGCCCAGCTCCTCGGCGAGCGCAACGAGCACCTCGTCCTCATCGTCGATTGACTCTGCGCGGGCGGCCGAGGCGCCGCTCAAGAACCCATGCTCGCGCAGAATATCGGCGCGTCGCGGCGTGCGCGGCGTGCGGCGATGGTGCGCGCGCGTCCACGCGCTAGCGGGCCCACCGTTGAGGAAGGGAATCAGCTCGTTTCGCGTGCGCTCCGGCCCGAGTGCGACGGCGATCGTCGAGAGTCTTCGGATCGAGTTGAGGCGCAGCTGAATGTCCTCGTGCTTCAGCTCGTCGATGAGGACCGCGACCGGGTAGAGCGACTGCTCCTATGGGGGTACCCTGTCGTTAGAACTCTTCCATCGCCCTGCCGTTGGGTGGGAGTATGCCGGGTCGGTCATGCTGGGCAAGAGAGGCTGTGAAGAATACCTCCCCCGGTATTTATACCGGTAGGGAGGCGTGTGCCGAATACAAAGTGGATCCGCCCTCCCGCCCTCCCGCCCGCAATAAGTGCAGATGTCCTTTTCAGCCTGCCGAGAGCTTCCTAGCCCGCGCGCGCGCTCCGTCTGGCGCGCGGAGCGACTCGGTGGACGTCCGAGCCCGCCGCCCCTCGCCACTGCACCCTGCTGGCCCATGCAGCGCGACACCGCACTTGAAGTAGCCGATCACGTACCCGAGAGATGAGGGCATTTCGGCTGACATTCCGGAAGGCAACAAGCGCCGAGATATTCCGTGGCCTTGCTCTGGCTGGAGATCTTTCCTCTCAGTAGGCGCCGCTTCGGGCTACGTGACGGTATGTGCAGCACACGACACTCATGACCAGTCACATGAACCCTGAGTCTTCAGTAAGCGAGCCGCTGGAGCCCTTCTCATTTGTGGCTCCGTCCTCTCCTCTGCCCGTTTCTCAGCAGGAGCCAAGTGCAAAGTCAGGGCATGCCGCCGTCCTCGCCGTCCTCGCCGTCGTCGCTGTCCTCCTCGAACGCGACGTCGCACCGCTCAGCGTAGATAATCCGCTTGAGCCGCTCCGACGACGCGACGGCCGCCTTGCGCTTCGACCGCGCCGCGGGCTCCGAGGCGTCCATGGCGACGGGCTCGTCGGCGCCGGCTGGCGACGGCGCGGAGCGCTTGCGCGAGGAGCGCTTGCTGCCGCCGCCGCCGCCGCCGACGCCGCCGACGCCGCCGACGCCGCCGACGCCGCCGAGCACCTCGTCGGGCGCGAGCTCGGTGTACGGCGCCTTGGTGAGCTTGCCTGTCTTGCGGCTCCGGCTGCCAGCCAGCTTGCTCGTGCACCGCCGGGTGCCGAGCTCGCTCGCGAGCGCGGCGTGCTGCTCTCCGAACTGGAGGCGGAGGACGTTCGTGTGCGACTCGCCCATCGGGCCCCACGTGAAGACGAGCACGGCGTTCTCCGGCTCGAAGGAGGCGGTCCAGTACTTGTTGTGCCAGTGCCCCTTCCGCTGAGGGTTCTCGAGCTCGCACTTGAAGGCGCGCGACCACGGCACGAGCGGCGCGGACGACGACGACGCCTTGCTCTGCGCGTGCTCCTGCCAGGTGCTGCCCAGCTCGTCCTTCCGCGCGCGGTACGCCGGGCTGGCTAGGAACTCTCGCACGCGCTTGTCGACCTGCGGGGCGACGAAGTGCTCGCCCACGCCGTGCAGCGTCAGCACGCCGAGCGCGTGGCCGCAGGCCTGGCCTTGCGACGGCCCGCCCATGGAGATGCCCGACATGAGGGTGCGCGGGTACGGGTACTCCTGCATCAGCTCCGTGTGGGAGAGCACCTCCGACCGCTTGGCGGTCGACGCGGCATGCATGCACTCCTCGCTCACGAAGACCTCGATGTTGCCCGCCTTCAGGTGCTTCCGCAGGCTTGCGGCGCAGAAGCGCTGCGCGTGGCCCTTCTCATCGAGGACGAAAGCGACCGGGGTGGAGCGGAGCAGGGAGGCGAGAACCTCACATTCGCCGAGGC